GTCACTCATTGGTGTCCCTCGTATGGTGTCCTTTTTGTGGTGTCCTGGTGGGAAATCCTATGGTGTCCCTTTTGCGGTGTCCTGGCGGGAACTTCAATGTCACTCATCAGATCTCCAAAAAAATCGAGAGGGTTCGATCATGGACACCTTCACTAGTTCTCAAAGTTTGTATGTAGGAACTCTCCTCGTCGACTTCCCCCTTGATGGCTCCCACTTCACCTGGTTGAATCACTAGTCCTCCTCTACTCTGTCCAAATTGGGCAAATTTTTTATCAATCCAAAATGGAAGCAACACCAAGAGGTGACTTCCAGATTCCTCCCAAGGACCACTTTGGATCACATTCCTGGTTTCCTAGATACCAAGCTCCCCCTTTTACACCATAGGCCATCAAATCTGAATGCAAATGGCTGGAGGGCAAAAATCGCTACTCCCTTATCCTCCAAAAGGTAGTCCTCTTTTGAAATCCATGGTTGGGCTGGTTTCAAGCTATCTAAGAAGCTACAACTCCTCAAGCAAATATTGAGAGCTTGGAATAGGGACATGTTCAGCTCACTCCACACATAGAAAGAATTCTTTAGCTGAAATTGAGGAGTTAAGACCTGCTAGAGGAAGCTAGGAACCTTCTCCCTTCTAAAGTCAAGGCTATAATTTCGGTGAAGGCAAACTTCCAAAGTATTCTGAAACAAGAGGAGACCTTTTGGCACCAACATAGGGTTAGATGGCTCCATAGGGGGACAGAAACACCCCCTTTCACAAATTACAAATTGCCAAAGCCGGGCCAATTTTATCCAATTCTATCCTCCAAACTATGGACAATGTTCAAATCTACAGAGAGCCTTTGTCGTTGGTACACAAATTTTGGATGACGCACTGATAACTAACTAGTGTGTTGAAAGAAGGTACCTTTCAAGAAAACCAGGGTTGATATGTAAGCTAGACCTTGAAAAAGCTTACGATTAGCTGATTGGTGGGTCCTTAATTCTATCCTGCACCTGACGAGTTTTGGATCCAAATGGAGGCAATGGATCTGTTGTTGTTCGTCCTCAGCCCACTTCTCCATCCTAATTAATGGATCACCACATGGCTTCATCCCTCCCCCTGTAGTCTGAGACAAGGGGACATCCCCTTGTCCCCTTTCCTATCCACGATTGTAGTCGACGACTTTACTAGGTCCATCGACAGGCTTTACCAGTGTGATATGCTCATGGGTTTCTCCCCATCCCATCATCGCCCAACTACCTCTCAGCTTATCTATGCAGATGACACTTTGGTGTTCCTTGATGCCTCCTCCCAAGAAGTTGACAATCTGCAGCTGTTTATTTGCTACTTTAGAATAGCTAGGCTCCTCAAGTCAACACATTTAAATCCAAATTCACGGGCATTATATTAGTCCAAGTTTCCCTCAAAGTGTAAGCACAAAGATGGATTGTATAATCATAACCTCGCAAACTTTACCCTTTTGTTGGTTGAACCAAAGATGTCGAATTGGAACTCCATAATTAAGAAATTTGGGAGGGCGCTAGCTGCTTGGGAATTGTCACTTCCACTGTTTCGGATGTCACATTACCCTTAGGAAATCCTCTTTGGCGAGCATCCTGGTATCCCAAATGTCCATGTCTCAAATGTCCATGTCTCACATGCTGATTACAGTGCCACAGAAACTCAAATATCTCATGGGAGATTTCTTAAGTAATGGAAGCTCAAACTCTAACAGGTTTCACCTAGTATGGTAGGACTTGGTATGCAAAGTCAAGTCATAAGGGGGCCTAGGCTTCCGAAATCTCCAAATTGCCAGCCCCACCCAACATGGGAAAATGGAGGTGTGCTTCACTACTAACCAAGATCTCTGTCGAGCTTAGTGATGTCCAATAAATATGTGGTACCTCCTATTCTAGGTGGCTCTCGAAAGGTCCATCTTCACCAAGGGCTTCAAGTGCATGGGAGCTATTGGACAACTTAATCTCAACTTTCTGATTGTGTGTGCTTCCTCCTCAAATCTGGGAACCGTACTAGATTCTGGATTGACCTCTGGATTGGAGATCAAACACTTGATATAGCTTTCCCCGCCCTCATGACACTGCTGTACACAGTGAGGCTTTCGTCGCTGATCATACTTCTCGAGTGGCTGGGAATACAGTTCTACTCCAAGACATCACTGATGTGGAAGCCTCCCAGCTTGTCTTCCTTCTTCCTCAGCTCAAGGATTTCTCTTTACCCCTTTCCTAATCGCTCTCTCTCAGTCTCTTTTTTCTTCAAAAACCTCAAAACCTTCACCCCCAATCCAGTGACTGCACAGAGAGCTCGGCTCCCCTTGGCCCCACACAAGGTGCAAACTTTCTATTGGCTTGCCATTTTGCACTAATGTTTCAAAGAATGAGGCTTCCATCTAGCCAATAGATGTGCCTTGCACATGGTAATGTATAGGAATCCAACCCCTACCTCTATATGTTGTGCCTCCAGTCAGCCATGATTTGGGCACATGTCCTAAACCTAGTGTTTGAACAATGCCGAGCTGGATAAAAAATTGCCGATCTAGAAAGGGACCAAAGAATGATCCGATTCTTTGGCTGAATCAGTGTCTTAAGCGGACATATCTTATATTATTGATAATTGTCACAATATAGGTACGTCAAAAATCTAGTTGGCTCCTATCAGCCTTTCGCGTGAGGTTCCAAGTTTGAATCCCACAAGAGTGCTTTTTTTAATATAAAAATATCACATTGCATACT